AAGAATAAAGGTCCTTTATGTAAATGTAATAACAGGCAAATAATACCTTCAAAGGAAAGAAAAACAATCTCTTGGGTACAGAAAGTTTGTCTGCTCCAGCTGTCCTCTCTCACTTGTTGGGGGAAGACTTTTGGGGAAAGGCCAAAACACAGATATTCACCAAGCATCCAGTTTTTAGCTCAGCACCATGTCTTAATCAGCTTTTGTCGAGCTGCCCTGCTCCATACCAAGCAGGTTTGAATGTGCAGCACACCCTGCATGTAACTGAGTCCCATTGCCTGTGGTGATGAGAGCAGGATGGCTCTGGGCTTCAGTACCAGCACAACTGCAGGTGTGGGAGGAGCAGCATCACCTCCTGCTGAATGCCATGGCTGACTCCAGGTCATTTCAAACTCCTGATTGTATGGTTTTGTGAAAGATCTCCAGAAGTCATGCACCTTGAGATCGCAGATGGACAGCCTGTTACAAGATCCACAGGTGGAGCCAGGGAGCACAAGCTTGGCCTGCCCTGCACTCTGAACTTTCCCAGCAGAAATGGCCATAGATTGTTCCCATGTCCACCAAGTTACCAAAATACAGACACGCTCTGGCATGGTCCCTGGGCTATGAAATGCCCCCTTTGTGGTCAGATCACAGGAGAGCTCTGGCTATGCAGTGTCCTCAGCAGTGTCCTCTCCTAATGCCATGGTGGTCCCGTGATTGCCCAAGCCATGGCAGGGCAGCTCTGTGTCCTTGTGCTCCTGGCTGGCTTCCCTCTGTCCTGCTTCCTTAAACACTCATCTAGCTCATGTTTTCAAAGGCCCAACTGCCTCTTAATCTGATTTCTGAATGAAAACAGTCAACAGCACCATGTAGAAATTCTTATTGCACAATGTCCTAAGAGTCTAGGGGAAGTTTGGTCTCTGCTCCAGGCTGGAATCTGACCTCAGAATTACAATTTATTCAGACTTGCAAAAGTATTTAGCCCAAAAGGATATTTTGTGGAGGACAGAGAAGAATTTGGGGTAGACAGATTAATGTTTTATGCGTGATGTTTTGCACTTCCCTAGCTGAAAAGCAATTGAATAAATTTTCTTTTTATTGCTCATAGCATAAAATGGAAAATAAGTGGTATCTCAGCCTTTTAGAATGTATTTCAAAAATAGCAGAAGTGAAAAATAGATGTTTAAAGTATGATTTAATATAATACCATAACATTTAGAAACCAAAATGAGTTATTGATCATCTTACTTTGGTATATCAATGTCTCCTTATAAATGCCACTGTTCCCTTCAGAGACTTGAAACTTGTCTAATAATACTGATATATGCAATTTATAGATAACCAGTGGGGCTACATGAATTCTGTTATTCTTTCTGGGTATCCTAGATATTTGGAGCTAATGTTTTCATGTGTATTATTCTAATGTACACAGAATTGCTTGGGACACATTTGAAGCTGCAGTAACCTGTGAAAGCTCTTTGTTTAATCCATTTACTGAATAATTGAGCAAAGACCCCTATATTTTCTACATTTAGGCTCTTAAAATTATTATCTTTATGTTATAAAGAATTCTGGTCTATGTGGTTAACGTGACATGTTTGTATAAGAAAAAAATGCTCTCCTGTGTAAATTAAGTCTACAGAACTTGCTTAAATATTTGTTGCTTATGAAAGTTCTACAGCAAGGGCTTTTCCTCAGGCATACATTTATCAGCTGAAATCTTGATTGTTTTGCCTGTATTATGTCACTCACGTCTGGCAAGAACAGCATCCTGCTGTTTGTGAAGCTGACCTCCTGCTGCTGCTTAGCCACTTGTAGGATTCTATCCCAATTCCTCTAATCCACTCTGTTTCAATAGCACCATATTTGGGCTCCTTCACAGATTCTTTTGCTGCTCTGTTTGGGATGCTCTATGAGCTGAATTAGAATTTTAATGTTCCGTTCAAAACAGAAGAAACCTTTTTGTTAAATGAGAATATAAGGAATAATCTCCTCCAGTCCCTTGGACAGAATTTCTACACATGCACTGTATTATTTTTCTTCAAACTTCTGTCCAGAAGTTTGGGGCACTATTTCAATATATTGGTTTACTTTGTGTAAATCAGATCCAGTTTGAGGTTTAATGTTGCAATAAGGCCTGCTACCATCTTAAATTGTTTCTTTCCTGTTGTAACTCCTCATTCAGAGTTCAGTGCTCCTTGTTTCCATTATGTCAAGGGTTTACTGAAATCTTTTCAAGCTCCTTGTGCAAGTCAGGCCTAATTAAAGCAGAGAACTGAAAGCACTCCAAAAATGGTGTTAGAAACGACACCAAAGCACAAAGTGCACTTTAGGTATTTTTGCCATACTTTCAAGAAGTCAGGAAAGATTTTCATGTGTTTTTCCAGTAGCTATTTTCTGATCCCCACATGAAACAAGGTTTAGAGAAAACAACTTAAAGCATGATTGGTATATGTATGTATGCATGAATATATATATATATTTAGGGTGTGTATATATATATATATATAGGGAGTATTTATGTATATATGTGGTCTGTCCCTTTACTTCACACCTAAGCTTATTAACTCTGCTGAATCTATTTGTGGTCAATATAGTAACTGAAAAGCAGGATAGCAGAACATGATCCTTTTTAATGTCAAGCTCCTGGACTTGTACTTGCTTTAAGAATTATTCTATAGAGAATGGAATTTACTTTACTGAAGAATAAACATGTGGTTAAATGATAATGCTAATTTTATTCTTTGAACAAATTCTTTGGACACAATGTAATATTACATGAGTCTCTCTTGTACAATTTGAAAACCTTTAGTGCAGTATATAGAGCTTACCTGAGTGTTTAAAGAGAAAAAAAGATATTATCGAGGTGAAACATATTTCAACAATTTCATAAATTTTCTCTCACTTGTACCAAACTTCCCTCTCTGGAAAATTCATTTTAGAGCATGTACCATGTTTGCTTCAGCTTTAGGTTTTAATGCTAAATTTTAGTTCCCTCTCAGCTGGATCATCATCATCAGAAGGCACCTGGTGCCAAGACCTGCTGAGAAACTCTGTGAATGGGGTCAGGGATGTGGATGGAAACTGGAGAAGACAACAGCTACAGCAGTTTGATATAATGATAAACTTTACGGCAAGAAATGGAACAGAGAAGATAATGAAGAAAACAGGGGAAAGAAAGAGACTTCAGAAAGAGGTGCTGAAACAGGGATAGAGGCAATGAAGTATGGGAGGAAGCAGAGGAAACAATTCTGAAGAAAAGAAGTGGGACGAAGCAAACATATTACTTGGTCTCCTTTCTTGCATTTAGCAAATAACATGCATTTATGATTTGTTCACAAATGTGTTAACATTTCTAATGATAGCAACATGGAAGAAAGATGTTTAATGGCTTTTATCAAGGGATTTAATCTGTGGACTCCAAAATGAAGAGGTTTGTAAGTGATCCCTCCATGCGGTGTCAGTGCGAGGACTTGTGGTTCTGCTGCTCCTTCTCTGTTTGTACTTTAAAATTAATTGAAAGCCTCATTGTTTTGTTTAAACTGTGAAAGCTTCCAAGGTCAATGAGTGAGGTAATTGACCTGCCTGTTGTAGGACAAAAATATGTATGTTAAATTGCATAATTAGTTTTAATTACATAATTATGGTGTTTAATATGGGGGGGTCAAAGGTTACTATTACATTTAGAAGTCATGGCAAGAAACACAAAAATAAGCAACATAGTTTAATTCTGTGTTTCTTTGGGTTTTAAAAAAGGGGTCCACTGTGATCTATCTTTGACCTTAGATATTTGATGATTATAGTAAATAATATACTGCTGTTACCCTTTTTGAGATCATAGAGACACCTTTGTAAATGACTAAGTGACTTTTCCAAAGACTTCATTTAGGTTCAGAGTACACAAAAGTTAATCAACGGTGGGAACTCAACTGACAGCAATTTAATCTGATTGGGTAAGGTAATTACATGATTACCAGGAGTGTTTATATATGGACAAGGATATTTTTATTGGAAAAAATCCTAATTGCTTTCTTACTGAGAAGAGAAAAAACCAAACAAATTTGTTGTTGCAGGTTAAGAGGACATCCTTCGTTCCTTGAAATAACTCCTTTTCATATTTTAGTGATAAAATGAACACGTAATTCTTTGAAAGTTTGCACTGGGATTATATTAGGAGTTCCTCTGTTTCTGAACTTGAAATAATACCATCAATATCTTGTTTCATTTAAGCAGCTCGTTGCTTATACATTAATTGTGTGATAGCCTAAAGATGTCATGATGCTTGTAATTAATTATCTCTTTTACTGTGTGTAAATACAGGTTGATTTCACCAAATGTAAACCTAAAGATCCATTATACTAATGGATATTTCTGGGAAGGAGGGCAGTATTTGTTTTTCCATGATGGTAAAAAAAAAAAAAGAAGGCACCATGTAAAAGATTGGTAGATAAAAGATGGTGTTCCTAAATGTTGGGAGAAAAGGTATCATTCAAGTTCTCTGAATGGTCCTTTAGAAAATGCTCTTTGATTCTATTGACATAGAAGGGAGTGTTGGGAGATGTATCTTCATTAACAAAACATTAACCTCTGTGCTTACCTCCTGAAGAGCACTGCAGAGTAGAAGCCCAGTTGGCTGATAAATTCTGGCTTGCCCCAAAATCTGATAAAGGAATGGGCTGGGCCTGGCCCTGGCACTTTGTAGGGTTATGTCTAAATCTAGATGCCAAAAATATATATATTGACACTTGTAAGAGTTACTTTGTATCACATTGGTACCTTTTTCTGCCAGTGGAAATGGGATGCAGTCCTCTCAAGACTGACTTCTAAGGAATTGAAAAGTTAATGAACTAATTGTTAAATAGGAAATATATGAAGTTTTGAAATTAAATATATAACTGTGGAAAGATGTTCCGTGACATGTTCCATGTTATAAAAATTACATGTTCTCCCTTTTACTAATTTTTCCCTTATAAGTGCTTTAGAAAATATTACAATTTTGAATTGTTTTTCTAAACCAGATGATCCAGTCACTGTTGGAGGCACATAGCCACGGCACAATCTCATGCTGTACATTGATCACCTGTCCAACCTTTGCCTAGAGTGTGATCCCCAGTTCCTTCAAGAGATCCATCTTTACCTGTCTATAAAGAAGAAGAGGAGGAGGGAGACATCTGGGATATTCAAGTATCAAAGTTTAACACCAGAGCAGGTCGAATCTTGATTTATATTATTCTCTATATGTGTTGCTGGTTTTGACTTGGATATTTGGCTGGATATTTTTTCAGTGATTGTATAGTATGGGTGGAAGCTGCTCCAGTCTTGAAGTGTTTTTGTTTGGACTGCTCACTTGCTGCAACTGCACGTGCATTTTTCATAGTTCTGTGGTGTGAAATAGAATTGAGGAAGTTGGCTGATACTAAGCATGCCTGGAGTCTGTACCTCTCCCTTGAACATGTGCTGACCACAGAGACTGAAATGTGGCAGCTTCTTTAAAGCTGTTCAGTGTACTCTAGCTGGACCATTCTGTGTTTAGCACACAACCAAATCCAGGTCCCCAGCCAGCACGATCGTGTTCATTCACTTGTTAAACTTTCTTCTTACTCTTCCTCTTCCCTTTGTGGGAGAACTTTGACATCCCCAAGAAGCCAAGGTTTCACTTACTGTCCTAAGGACTGCCCCTTCAGGAGTGTAGCACAGCCCACACACAAACCTGGAACATGTCCAACTTGTTCTCTGAGCAGAATGTGAACCCCTGACCTCCTGGGCCTCCGGCAAGAGTGCTGCCTACTGAGCCACCAATACCCAGGCCATCAATAAGTTTTAAATGCCAGTTGCAGACTTCACAGAGATAATGACTTCAGTGTGTAAAGGTTTTGTTGTGGAGGCTGCAGTCTCACACATGGCGTGACAGAGTAAATATGCTAAAACCATAGAGAGCCCTTGCATAACTCGCCTTGATATAACAGTTTTTGTAATATGTTTCAAGGCATGGAATATTATTTAAAGGGACCCTGTTATGTAGGCTTAGGCCCAAAATGAAGCTATTATGAAAAGAATGTTTAGCAAAACCAGAAATATGTCCATGAAATTGTTGGAGTGGGAATTTCAGGGTAACCTTGCTTGGATTTAAAGTCGCCTGCATGACATTGCACTGTTGTTCTAGGGAATGAGAACCAGCAAATGAAAATACTGTTAAGTGAGAATCAGAAACTGAGCAGAATAAAGATGTTAGAAGGCTATTACTATTTTTATAACTTCTTAAAAATCTTACCTCATCCTGAGAAAGATGAGATGAAAAAATAACTTCCAATTTAGTAGTTCAAAGCAGCATTATTGACACAGGTAAAACCATGTATTTGCATTTTAATAGCATTTTTAACCTGATCACAAGTAAGTTCTTGTATTTTAAGTATTATAAAGGAAAGTGAATATGAAATAAGCTTTCAGATTTTGGCACATTTCAGTTTTATTGATGTTTCCTATTTAAAATCTAGCACTAAGAGCATACAAGAGATATGCTGATGTTTGCAAACAAAGTATTATTTATAGACTTGGATCAGGAAGGAAAATATGGCCAGATTCGAGCTAAGACTTAGATTGTTGAAAGGCTGTTAGATAAGTTGCATGAACCTTCTATGGAGCACAGGCCAGGAGCCCAGGACTCCTTTTCCCAGCTGAGTGCCCAAATCACTAGGCTACAGACTCTTGCTCCCTCTTGTGTTCTTTCTCCAGCCCAATGAATCTTGAATTATTTTCTGTACAATGAGAGAGCTTCAGTGGTGGAACTTTGATATCTCCCTCTCCTTGCCCCAGCATTTACTGCAGCCTGTAGCCAACTGATTGATCTGGAATTTAGCAGAATTGTCCATCCTGCTAAAGGGCATTGCTGGGTCTTGAGCTGAGGAAGGAATGGGACCAGGGGATTTGGTTTCTGGGATGAGCAGAGCTGCTGCCAGGCTGGGAATGACTGGTGCTCATGTGCTGTTTTAGAAAGAAACAGCACCTGAAGCATTTTGTAGGGAGCCCACCTGGTCGGTGTTTGGCTTTGAGAGTGCCTGGTGGGTCAAACTCAGATCAGCTGTGCAGCTCCCACAGGACTGGGCACAAGCTGAGCCATGAGATGAAGCACCCTGGCTGAGCAGATAAACTCTGGCCTGAACAGAGATGCAGCTTCTGGGTCTGGCCTGTGTTGCCATCAAAACCTTTATGGCCATCAGAAACATCTCCAGGATGGGGTAGGAGCATCTCCAGGTAGGAACATCTCCAGGATCGTCATTTTGGCTACACGTCTGAATTCTTCTCTTTGAATTCCGACATTTTTAGGCTGTTAATTAGTTTAATTTAACAGCTCTTTTGAATATTGAACTGGTAGGTTTTATGAACCTGTTTTTCAAACAAAAGTTAAGTTTTAAAGAATGTGTTATAATTAGGCAAGATGACAAGAAGAATTTGTGGTTCAAAGGTGCATCAACAGTTATAAGCCAAAGACAAACAGTGTGTTTTGAAGCTTAAAAAGTGAAATTGCTTTGAAGACATTAATGCTGTTCAGGCAGTGCTGTACAGCAATGGGTATTAGATCTGAACTTAGGAATAGCCAACTAAGTTGACTGCATTGCAGTTATGAAACAAAAGTTTGTCAAAATTACTGACTTAATTCCTGGGCTCTTTTTTTTGTCTCATATGTATGTTTTATGAAGTCCTGCAGTGCAGGCCTTTATTCATGCAAATGTATTTATCTGCCTCAGTGGAATTATTCTGGTGAATAAGTCCATGTCTAAGATCAACTAGGACGGTTTTCTTTTCAATAGGAATGCTAATTTTGAAAATGACATCTGTGTGTTATTTTTAGTCTGAAGACCTACAGGCAGTATAAAATTGGAATTGTATATTTCCTTGGCAGTTTCTCTATGGTTGTTTCTCCCTGTTTAAAACTCTGGTGAAATGTTTGATTCATTACAAATTACTTTCCTGATAGTAGATGTATCACATAGTTTGGTATCCAAACGTGAACTATTTCTGCTTTGTAATGTGGTGAATTGGGGGTGGTGGTGGAGGTGGGAATAAAAACTTCTATTCATGACAGGTGCTTGGTTTTAAACACAAGTCTTTTTCTGCCATTCTAGTGTCTATTTTCATTGCAAGGGAACTTTTTATATAGTAGGAGAACACTGAAGTAGGAGGGATGCAGTCTGTACCCAGTTGTTCATGGTTTAGCTGCAGTTCCTTTGGCAGCATTTCTGGTTCCACACACAGGAATTTCACTGTCCCATAATCTGGCTTTAGCAGGGCTACCATTTGCTCAGTGTAACATTAATGTCTCTCCTTTCCCAGTGAACAGAAGTTAAATTGATAAAGACTGTAATCATACTAATGATTCTGTGTGCATTGGTGCAGGGAACTGCTTAGCATGGTGTTAATTGCTTTAAAGTTGGTGTTTTAAAGGGGGTCTTTAGGTACCACTGATATGAATTTGGGATAAATAGCTAAAAAACACTCTGCAGTAACCCACATGATGACAGAGAAAGGTAGAGAGGACTGGGTGAAAGCCAGAATGGGAAAACTGAGAAGGAGGGGGGAGGAAAAAACATTGCTACAGAGGTGGTGGAGTGGTAAACTTGGGAGATGAGTAGAGGTCTTCAAAAATGAATAAATTTTTATATAACTATGGATAAACTATATTACATTACTTTAGTTGATTTCAATCATTGTAATTTGGGAAGCCCTGCATAAGGCAGCTACAATAACTAAAAGATGTGATCAGCAAGCATCTTGATGGAGGCAATAGTCAAATACAAGATCAGCTATAGAAGAACAATCTAAGAAAAACAGACTTGTAGTTCCAATCACATGAAAATTGCTATTTCATTTGGGAACAGCATACTTCCAAGATTATAGATTGGAAGGGTAAAAGTAAATCACTGTAAATATGATCACATGTTAGTGAAAGCCCACATTAAAGAGCATATCCTCCCAGCTATAAAAATAGTCAACTTTGTTCTGAGTTAGGTAAAAAAAAAAGTAGTGTGAATGCTATTGTGTTTTCCCTTGATCAATTTTGCATGAAAACATTTTTAATTTTATTACGTATTTGGGTTTTGGTTTTTTGTTTGGGTTTTTGGTTTTTTTTTATGGGAGAGGTTGATTTGTGTCTGTTAGTAGCAATGATTCCTCAGCCTTAAATCACTTGATATGTGAGGAAAAGATCTCATGGCATGGTCTTGCCGTCCTCTTTTTAGTGTTGCCACTAAGGAAAAAGATTGTGTACAAGTGTCTGAAATTTTTTGCATCTGCTCTTGGAAGTACTAAAGCTAATAGGGATTTTTCCAAGTTAACAGAGTTTTTGATAGAAATTGCTTCTTTATCAAACCTAAAACCTTTCTCATGCCAAGGGTAGTTTAAAAAAATTCCTTTAGAAAGCTTTAATTTCAAATAGAAAATAAATAATTTATTTGAAATGGAACTGCTCAAAAAGAAACCTTGAGAGAAATCTGCATTACAATGCCCAGAGCCTAATAGTTAGGGCATTATCCTTTAAGACATGCGACTTTGGTTCAATTTCCTTTTCTGAATCCAGCTGAATAGAGACTTAAATCCAGCTGAATATCTAATGCATCCAAGGCAACTGTCTTTACTACTGCACTATTGTCTGTAATAGGTTGGGTATCTCTGCTTTTGTGAAAATTGTGAAAGGATTTGTCCTAATACTAACAAGACCTTTCTGCAATCTTCAGAATTCTTAAAGGCTGGGAAAGAACCTTTGTGCTTAGCTTTATTCATAACCCCCAGGCTCTGAAGAAATGCCTGTAATAATCATTATTTTATATGTTCAAACCAGGCAACATTTGTTAATCTGGACCCTAAACTAAATCTCAATCTCAGACTCCATATAGAACTGTCTTTCCATGCCTCTGGTTATTCCTGTCAGCTGTCTTGGGTTTTTCTGGTTTTCCTATATCCATTCTTTTAACAGTTCAACCAAATCTGCCTGAAAGTAGCACTTGGGTTATAACAATGAATTTAACACTACTTTTCAATATAGTCTTTTGTATTCTTTGCACATTAAACTTTATTATGGTAAACTAACTCTGTGATCACTGCTGAAGATACTTCTGGTTGAAATATCCACTTAATAAAAGAAAAAAAAAATTCCAAAACATGTTGAAAGTAATTTGATGGTGGTTAGGACATTGTTTTGAGCCTGCAGTGGTG